CCCCCCTCCCCTCGCTTGCAGGAACGCGCTTATGTTCAATAACGAACTCATGGCTGACGTTCACTTCATCGTGGGCCCGCCAGGGGCATCCAAGAAAGTTCCTGCCCATAAGGTTTGTGCAGATAATTTTTGGCTTCTTAATGCTGCTGTGCATATCGCCTTCTCCCCTGCCTTTCAACTAGGTTCCACTTTTTTTCTAATTACAGTTCTTGTCTAATACCAGAAGTAATTCACTGCAATTAAAAGGAACAGTCAAAGGCAGTCTTGTGCCTCCACTATAGCTTTTAACTTTTCCTCGGTGTAGCTCTTAACTGCAAGCCAGCACACTCAGCTATTGCCGATGCATACTACTGAGGCTTCTCTCTTGTTTTCCAGTACGTTTTGGCAGTTGGTAGCTCTGTCTTCTATGCTATGTTTTATGGCGATCTCGCAGAGGTCAAATCCGAAATCCATATACCAGATGTGGAACCTGCAGCCTTTCTAATCCTATTAAAGTAAGTGGCCACTACAAGTCTACTAATTACATGGACAGAATCAAAGTAGCTTATAAAATATACATCTCCTAATTGGCATTGTGCAATATGCACTCACTACTGTTTACTTAATGTGCTGACAAATACTGTGTATCGGCTTCACTGCCGGCAAAGATGACAAGAGATCAGTCTTTCATGGCCTATATAAGTACTTCTTTTTTTCCTTAAGATACTACTTTTTTTCCCCCCCCATCTAGATACATGTATAGTGATGAAATAGACCTGGAAGCTGACACGGTTCTGGCTACATTGTATGCTGCCAAGAAGTACATTGTGCCGGCCCTAGCAAAGGCTTGCGTCAATTTTCTGGAGACCAGTTTAGAAGCGAAGAACGCTTGTGTCCTGCTGTCTCAGAGCAGGCTCTTCGAGGAGCCAGAGCTGACGCAGCGCTGCTGGGAAGTGATTGATGCTCAAGCAGAAATGGCACTGAAGTCAGAGGGCTTCTGTGAGATAGATCAACAAACACTAGAGATCATTGTAACCCGGGAGGCACTCAACACCAAGGAAGTGGTAGTTTTCGAGGCTGTTCTCAACTGGGCAGAGGCTGAATGCAAAAGGCAAGGGCTGCCAGTTACACCACGCAACAAGAGGAATGTATTAGGAAAAGCTTTGTATTTGGTGCGGATTCCGACCATGACTTTGGAAGAGTTTGCTAATGGAGCTGCCCAGTCTGATATCCTCACCCTTGAGGAAACTCACAACATATTCCTATGGTACACAGCTGCAAATAAACCCAAACTAGAGTTTCCACTGACAAAAAGAAAAGGACTCATCCCTCAGCGATGCCATCGGTTTCAGTCCTCTGCGTATCGCAGCAATCAGTGGAGGTACCGAGGTCGATGTGACAGTATTCAGTTTGCCGTAGACAAACGGATATTTATAGCAGGACTGGGATTGTACGGGTCGAGCTGTGGCAAAGCTGAATACAGCGTCAAAATTGAACTGAAGCGCTTAGGAGTTGTCCTTGCTCAAAATCTGACAAAGTTTACCTCCGATGGCTCCAGTAACACTTTCTCTGTGTGGTTTGAACACCCTGTGCAGGTTGAGCAAGATACCTTTTACAACGTAAGTGCTATTCTGGATGGTAATGAACTCAGTTACTTTGGGCAAGAGGGAATGACTGAAGTGCAGTGCGGGAAAGTGACCTTCCAGTTTCAGTGCTCCTCGGACAGTACTAATGGTACCGGAGTGCAAGGAGGACAAATACCTGAGCTCATTTTCTATGCATGATGCATTTCACCTTGATTGTATTCCAATGCTGCAATGATGCACATTAAGGGATTTCTCAGTTTTACTACAAACTGCAGCAGTATGGAATGTTATGCTACTTACCTATCTGCTACACCAGGCTATACAAATAAGTGAAGGAATGCTCTTGAATTTAATCTTATTTTATTTATTCATAAGCTATTTGACTTAATAATTAAGACTGCAACAAGCAGAGAAATGTTAAATTTTGCACGTACTGTGCATTTATTTTGTATATAGATAACTAACTTGCAGACTGCAGCTGACTTAAACAGAATGTTCTAAACTAGAGCAGTTTATGAATCTGTGAAATATAAAACATTTTTACTTGCCCTAAATCCTGTGTACTTGATCATTGCTCATCTTATGGCTTAAGTCTGTTAATTCCTCTACGCTACAGTTAATGGGTGATTATACTATAGTGTACCCCCTCTGTGCAGCTATACAGGGCATTAGCTATCACTGCAGATATAAAGGTTCCCTTGCCTGGTAACTGAGACTATCCATCAGCAACCTTTCATTTCTTTCACAAAAAAGGGAGCTGCAGATGTGGAAGCTCAGGGTTTTCAGTATGTAGCCTAAGCTTGAAGCTATTCAAACCATGAGTATAATTAATCAAAGTTGATCAAAATCATCCTGTGGTTATATTTGAAAGCTGTAGCGCCCATGCACAGGCACCATCTGTGTTAACCTCCAGCCTGTCCAGCAAACAGCAACACTAACGCTTGCACCTGTCAAACTGCACCCCACTTGAATGGCCAGAGTCAAGACTTAACTGATGAGGCTTAATGCAGTGACAGGCATCATCACTGATTTAGCCCAAAGCTGCAGTACTGGCAGCCCTTATATAGCTACACATCCCATCCTCACATTTAGGAGCAGACATTAGAGAAACACTTGCAATACAATCTTTAAGTTCAATCAAAATTACTAATAAGAACAAAAGCTGCTCAATCTTTGTCCCCCTCCTCCATTTTTTCTAAAAACAGTCTGTCTTAGTCATTTTATAGCTAATACCCTTTACTTTTCTCAAAAAGTGATAAAAGTAGGTGTTTTTGTCAAGTGTCTGACAAGCATTACTGACAAGCAAGTTAGAAATACAGGTTTCTTACACATCTCTCTTCTCATGATGACCTTGGAAAGAATATTCAAGCAGCAGACTAAACCAGCATTTTTCCATGTGTAACAAGTACCACTACGTTTAATTGAAAAAGATTTTCTGTTTGCCTTTCCCTAAGCTGCATTAATTTTCTGCCTGTTCTGTCTTAAAAAAAAGTAATGAAAAATAAGGCAGCAACTTAATTAATGAAAATAGTAACTTTTCACCAAACACCAAGCTATGCTAACAAAGTCAGCACCCCGTTACGGCTGCTAGCTGTGCACTGCCTCATTCTATCTGGATGCCATTATGACGATGCTTAGTGTGTGAACTGCAGGTTCTCTTGCTGCAAAGGCAGGTAGTTATGTGCCCAGCGGAGTACATCTGAAGGGGGAAGTATGTGTACTGTATACAAAAGCATCTGATGCTCTCAGTATAGGAGTGTGGGAGTGAGAATGGGTAAAGATACAGAAATAAAATTCCTGCACAGAGGTGGTAACAGTCACAAGACCTCTCTATAAATGCACTGTTTTAACTGGAATTGGCGTGAACTCCATTGGCTTAAAAGCTACAGCTTGACAAGAGCTTTTTTGCCCTTTTGACAGGTTAAAACCCACCCTCCTATCACTGATAAAATTTCAGTGATGACTTCCTAATTAAGTTACTCACATGCTTGGAAAAAGTTGCTCCTTTTCCATTGAGCCAATGGTATTTCAAGCTCTGAACAACTCGGCTACAGGTGATGGACAGACAGTGAATTTGGCAAATACTTATCAAACGTGGCATCTCTGTAGAACTGAAATGTGACAGGCCTGTGTGAGCTTGCAAACACACGGAAGTTCATTGTATGTGAGCCCTGTGTCTTAGCACAGCTTGGATGGAAAAAGCAACAAAACTGTTTCTAAAAGAAAACAGCACCTAGCTCCCAAACACTCTTGCACAAAGGAGAACAGGCTCCCATAGTCAGCAACGCTCTTCTGCGTGGATTGATTCCAGCTTCAGTTTTAAAGGTACCACTTTTGCATTTGGCACACAATACTATGTATATCTATACATATACATTCTTGTCAAGTAACCATGCAAACCCAAAGTAACCACACCCAAATACGCAAAAATCAACTCAAAAAAAATACCTATAGCTGGAGCATTTATGCAGAGTTCTCTCGCCAACAGAAGGAAAGTTTTTCCCAGCACATAGACATTCACCTATTAAAAGACAAAAAAACCCCATTATTTAAATATTAAACCACAGATGCTTTAAATAGAACATTTATATGGAAAGGAAAAAGAAAAAAGCAAACCCCGACTTTTTGAAATCTCAAACAACCTGCTTTTAAAAAGTTCAATTGAAGTAATACAAGCAATATTCATAGGTATAAAATAACAATGGGTACTTGTCAAAAGCTGCACAAATTAGCATTGTAGATCAAAGCATAAGTTTGTATTGGAAAAAATGAAAAAAAGTTGTTCATCCTGCTCTTCAGTGGCTTCTGTTGCTCTGTAGTACTTGGACAATTTTTCAGTTGTTACCTGACATTGTGACATTGAGCAGACTTTAATATAACATCAGTATATATAGAGCGTCAGTTGTCTTGTAACATAACAAAACCTGAGCAAATACTCACAAGTTAGTACAAATTTCAGCTCTGCATGATCATGTGAAATGGGATAATTAAGTATTGCACAAGCACACACCAAACTTTTCCACCAAAGCAAGGAGTGGTGCTATATGCCTCAGGGGTTATTTGTCATTTCTTACTCTTTGGACATTGTCCCATTAAAAAAAAAAGATAAATTCAGAAATACCCTATGCCACAGCAAACCTGCTGAGGAGCCAGGTACAGAGCCCTCCTCTCCTCCTTCACTGTGGCACTCAGGAAGATGTAAATGGAGAGGAGGAGTTGCTCTTTATACTCTTGATCTGCAATTAATAACATAGGCAACTACATTTGTATTTTAAAAGTCTGAGGAAGTTTTCTTTCACTATTTTAAGATAAGTTTTGTGGTCAGCAAAAAAGGCAGGATATACTCCAGTTCCTAATCAGCCCCAAACGTTCCCACGAAGCTCCATGATCACCTTGCTCCCCACAAGGCGTATGTAAAGGTCAAAGTTAGCATAAAATACTCCATCCTCCTACACTCCAAATATATATATATATTAAGGCTAGTATATACTCTATTGCTTTTATGTAACAACTGTCCCTCTCTTTCCTATGCCAGGATAGTGAAGGTGTTTACTAAGCAGTCAGTTACACAACTGAGTTGCTGATTATGGTAGAAGCCTATGTAAATAAAAGTATCCTGTTACTCAGTATGTTCTCTTTCAGTTTCACAAAAGAGCTTTATCAACAATAGTTTAAAAGCAAACTTTCCTTCCAAGTTTATAGATGCTTCTACTAAGATGGCAAAAATGAATATATATAAACAAAAAATACTGACATGTTTTCACCTAGCATGTCAAAATCTGAAATGTTCTTAATGTGAATTTTTCCTCAAATTTTAAAAAAATTTAAAAATGAGAACTTCAAAGATATCCTCAGAATAGTCATATATCCTGAAAGTGACTATGAATTCAAGTGTACATGATACAATGGTACTTTATTCCATATTTAGTGGAAGGTGTTGGCTATCTTCCATGCTGTGTCTGAACAATGGCTGAACTGGCCTAGAAGATACAAAAGTATATTCTTAAATTTTACTGTCCTCTTTTTTCCTGAAATACCAGACAACATAGAAATACTATTCCATGGGAAAAAAAGTGAACAAAATATACCCTTTGCATAAGAATCATATTTCTTTGGATTTAAGTCACTGAATTTTTATACAGAAAAATAAGCACCTACTGAATCTGGCAATTCATACGGCAGTTTGAGAGTATATGACTTTCCATGAGCCACAGAGACAGAACAGACATTACTACAACAAAGCATCTGCAGTGTTTCAGTTGGCTGTAGATGCTCTAGATTCACTGCAAGCTTGGAATGGCATGTTTTGACCCTTTGTCTAAAAATTATTAACATAAAGAATGGGGGTTTGGCTGTAGCTTCAGCCTTCTAAGTTTGCAGACCAAGTTACTATAAACCTTAAACCTCATCACTTAGATCTTGTTCTGCAAGGACGATTTCACTGCACAAATCAATAAAGATACTTCAGCGGAGACAACTCCATGTGATGTTTCTTTCCATCAGAGGCTTCAAACTCATCTAGTTCTTTCATTTTAGCCTAGGAAAAAAAAACGCCCTGAAATTCAGACAAGTATTTCTCCTGGCTTTTTTGTCACAACTTCCACATATTTGACATTTGTCCCCATCAAACCGTCCCACTCTCTTAAGAAACTCCTCCTCCAAGCAAACTTTCCATAAATGCGGTCATCAAAGAACAAATAAATATGAAGAGGTATAAAGTAGCAGGGCTGTAAAATTAAGTTCTAACAATCAAGTGGGTGCCAAATTAAACATAAAGCAAAGACAAATGCGTAATAAAATTTCTCGATCCCAGTTTATCTTCTTCTCCTTGGCCTAACTAAAAGTCTCTGGATCCATGGTCTATTTGAGAAGTAATGGACTAAAATCTAACCTGCTTTTCCACTTCACCCACATCATCAGTGTTTTATGACCAACTTCAAGGTGTAGGCAGTGTATTTACACAAAGTAATAAATCCAAACAGAAATGGTACATCAGGGAATTTCTTTCTTTTAATCATAAGTGAATTTCTTTGCAGTTTCTGGTTACTACTAATTTAGAAAGAAAACATAATACACAGTGGGTTATATGCTCTGTACTGTTTTCCTCAGGAAACTCACATGGTTTTGATGCCAAGGTAAAGTGACAGAAAGAATCAGGAATATTTAATTGCTTCCAGTTTTCCTGGCAAATCAGTAGGAAAAGAAACTTAAGGCCCTCTCAAACAATACACTTCTCATCTTAAAAAGTTACCAGATAGTCCCAGGTTCAGGGGCATTTCTCATAAACGGGAAATTAAAGACGGCATAAAGCTCATCCAGACATCTGTAATGCCACTGAACTGCTGAAACATGATATTTAAGATCTTCTGGGTTTAGTAGAAGAAGACCCTTTCACTAAAATTTTATGCTACTGTCACTAATTTCAACTATTACTCATCCACATACACATCCTGTGACAGATGAGATATGATATATAATAGGCACATAGATAGAGTCTTTCTTTACTCTCATCATTTGTATGGTTTTTTTGCACTTCATTAAGCTTAGAAAATTG